TGTGAGGTGAGTGGGGCTGAGAGACTTCAGAGAAGTGTGACTAGCCCAAGGTCACCCAGCAGCTGCATGTGGAGGAGTGGAGATGCGAACCCGGTCCACCAGATTACGAGTCTACCGCTCTTAACCACTACACCACACTGTCTCTCCAGTGAGATCAGTTGTGGTGATTTAGGTGAGCTGTCCACATTCTCAAGTCAAATTGCACTGTAAACAAGGAGTCTCAGATAGGATCAGAAATTCCCTAATGCTCCAAGTCACTTAGTCAGTTTGGCTGCCCACAAAATGTGACATTTTAAAAGTGACTGCTGTAATCTTTTTTTTTTTAAAGAAAATGAAAGAAAGCTAACTAGGAAGAATCTCTCCTTGTGTGGGGAGAGCATAGGTGCTGACTCCCTGGGGCTCTGGGTCCTCAAGCACCCCTGAAATTCCCCATGAAAGGGCTGGGCACCCACAAATGTCAGCACCAGGGCCATGCATGCTGCATGGGACCCATGGCCAGGGCACTCATGGTCACGGGGCCAAGCTGGCACTCCTGGGGGAGAGAGTGGAAAGATGAGAGGGGAGTGTTTCATTATAACTGACAGGTCTCAGTCACAGTGAACTGTTTTCTCTGGCAACTTCAGTCACAGTGATTTGTGGAAAAGAAAAAAAAATTCCTTCCAGTAGCACCTTAAAGACCAACTAAGTTAGTTCTTGGTATGAGCTTTCGTGTGCATGCACACTTCTTCAGATACACAGTGTGTATCTGAATTTTTTTTTTTTTGACTATGGCAGACCAACACGGCTACCTATCTGTAAGTGATTTGTGGGTCTTTGCTGTTGTTTATACCACCACCCTCTCCTATGCAAGTCAACAGAGACATTCTCTCCTCATCATTTTCTGTTAAAACAAAAAAATTCCTTCCAGTAGCACCTTAAAGACCAACTAAGTTAGTTCTTGGTATGAGCTTTCGTGTGCATGCACACTTCTTCAGATACACTGAAACAGAAGTTGCCAGATCCTTCTATATAGTGAGAAGGTGGGGAGGGGTATTACTCAGAAGGGTGGTGGGAATGGGTGATTGGCAGATAGCTGTGATGAGCCTGTAGCTCATCAGTGTATCTGAAGAAGTGTGCATGCACACGAAAGCTCATACCAAGAACTAACTTAGTTGGTCTTTAAGGTGCTACTGGAAGGAATTTTTTTGTTTTGACTATGGCAGACCAACACGGCTACCTATCTGTAACATTTTCTGTTAAACAGCCTTGCTGTTAGTTTTAGATCATCCACACACTGCATAGGTGACCACCCCCTTGGTCTTTTAAAATTGTAGGGTTCTCACACTAGCAATGTCTTCCCCCCCCCCAATCGGTCTGAATTGCCTCTTGCCACATGTCCTGTATATGTCCGTTTCAACTTCCCAGCCTTTTCCACTACTTTCACAACTTTTAATTTTTGCCATATCCAATTGGTTTTTATATCTTTTAATTATATTCCTAACATTGCATGTCCCACGGCATGTTGTGTTGTTCTTAAACTATTTGTGTATCTCTGTGTCAAGGGCCAATTAAAAAAAATATGGTATCAAATACAGTGGTGCCCCGCAAGATGAATGCCTCGCAAGACGGAAAACCCACTAGACAAAAGGGTTTTCCGTTTCTGAGTTGCTTCGCAAGACGATTTTCCCTATGGGCTTGCTTCGCAAGACGAAACGTCTTGCTAGTCTTGCGATTTCCCCCCGCTCCCCCCCTTTTTCTAATCCGCTAATCCGCTAATAGCCTTTTAGCAGCTTAGCCGCTAATCCTTTAATAGCCGCTAAGCCGCTAAACCGCTAATAGCGCTAATCCGCTTAGCCGCTAATAGGGTTGCTTCGCAAGACGAAAAAACTGCTAGACGAAGAGAATCGCGGAACAGATTCTTTTCGTCTTGCGAGGCACCACTGTATGTGAACCATATGTGAACCCTTTAAAGCACTGCCATCCTTTGAAATTCTCACTTCGGAATTTAATACTCTAACAAAAGAATGTGTAAAAAAATGCATATATTAGGATAGAATGTGCATCAAAGTACACATATTAGTGAAAACAATATACAAATGTACAAATTTGCTTTGCTAAAATCTGTATATGATGCAAGATTGCATACAAAAAATGTGTATATCAGGAAAAAAATGCATTAAAAAGCTAATGAATTTTCATGAAGGTTTTTTTTTTTAAAAAAAAGTTTTGGACTGATGAGAATGTGGAGCATTGACCTTAATACTGGAAAAAATGGGGAAATGAGAGAACTCCAAATTGACAGATTTCCCAATCTCTAATCAGTGCATTAGGAAGGGTCTGCCTGCTCCAGTGAGCATAGAGTGATGGGTTTCTGCCAACTTTATAACTTTATTTTCCAAGGCACCGTCTTACAGCCCTCTCTTGTGGCGCTCTAATTGTGCTGCTGCACTCAGCCTGAGACCTACCGTCTTGCAGAAAGGGCACCTTCCATGAATGAAATTGACATGAATATTGACAGACACCTAACCATTAAAAAGAGAGCTTGACATATTCACTACGATTTTTCGCCCAGCCATTCACTGGAAGAATGGCTTGGGGAAGCTGTGTTAAGGTACACCTAGTTTCAGCAGAGCTAATTTTAAATGTCAGTCCCTGTTCACCGAGGAGGGCTAATTAGGATGGAAAAGAGAGGGGGGAAAGGACGGATTTATTTTTTTTTAAACCCAAGCAAAGCTAAATAGAGATGCAAGGAATTCAGTTTTAGGCGTAGCCAACCTTGAAATACATTCTGGGCTGGTCATTAGCCTTGGCTTCCTAATTTTGACTCCAAATGTTAGTCAATATAACAAATGGACTACAAATAGCATATTGAGGACTTGCTGAAGCAGTCAAGGTTGCTGACTTCTGCTGGTAGTTCACCTTATCCCTGGGCCAACTCTCAGAAAGCCCCCTAGAACAGTGGCTCCAGGCATTGGGACATAGCCAGGGGTGGCCCTATCACAAGGCAGAATGAACCTATCATCTCATGTAGCAGATATTGAGCAACAGTGAGAGTGGAATAAACTCTCCCTCACCTGACATTTTCTTTATTTTTAATTTATTTTGAAAACTCCCCCCCCCCACACTCTGGTTTCTGTTCTCTGGATCCCACAAACTTGGGAAGGTGGTGCTGTGATGCAAAATACAGCAGGCAACAGTGGGTTAGATGGACCGGCGATGTGGCTCAGAATAAGACAGGTCTTCCTCAGAAAAGAAAAGAAAAGAATTTGCTGATATGTTGCGTGAGAATGTCTGCTTTTGAACTCCTCTTGTTGGGAGTCGATGGAAAAAATGTCACCCCTATTCAGAGAATATTCAGTACTACTTCCCCATCCCCCCACTCCCACAATTTCGCAATCTGAAAATAGGATGGAGAACTTCAGCTGCAGCTGTGGATTCAGTTTTAATATTGTTTAGTAGTGTTTTAATGTCTGGTTGGGCTAGATGGGCTTGATCCAACAGCCTCTTCTTATGTACTTAATGTTGTTGAAGGAAAGAATAGGCCTGACCCCTAACTCCTTCCACTCCTCCATTCTTAGCCCATTGCTTCCTTCATACATCATCATGTACTAACACTAGTTGAATCTCTCGATTTTGGTTTCTCTCCATTTCTCCTTTTCCCCTGTCTTAAATTCAATTCTCCCTTTTTCTACAACAGATTTTTTAAAATGGGGGAGGGGCACATGAAATAGTGCATGTGTTTATATACATCTCGCAAATGATTTTCCAGAATATAATGCATTTTGCACAATATTTTCACTAACACAGGCCATTTTTCCGTGCCTGTATGCCTTTTGTATGCATTTTTCACTATACCATAAATTTGGGAGAAGTGTGGATTTTGAGGAATAGCTGTGTTTCATTTTGCAGATTGGTTTTGAGAAGCATAGTTTAGGTAGGTTGGCATCAAAATGTGAACCAAACCCTCCCAAAACATCTCACCTATCCCTGACACTTTTCGTTCAATCTATGTACAGTGGTACCTCGGGTTACATACGCTTCAGGTTACAGACTCCGCTAACCCACAAATAGTACCTCGGGTTAAGAACTTTGCTTCAGGATGAGAACAGAAATTGCGCGGCGGCGGTGCAGCTAAAGTGGTGCTTCAGGTTAAGAACAGTTTCAGGTTAAGAACGGACCTCCGGAATGAATTAAGTACGTAACCAGAGGTACAACTGTATAGCAAAGTTTTCTCCGCCCCCTCAACACACACAATTTAACTGCCTGAAAATAGAGTGGAGATTTTGAAGCCTAATTTTGGCTCAGCCCTCCTATATTCATATAAGGACCTCTCTGTATGCCTCCACATCAGCTTTATTCAAACCTCTGCCATTATTTAAATCAGCCACTTTCCCCCTCTCAATGTCTCTTCTTTCTTGCTCCCATGCCATGACCACTGCTGTTGTTGTACAACCTGCCTTCACTATTGCTCCGCTGTTTCATCCTGACTTCATGCAAATCCAGGATTGTGATGAGGCACAACAAATCCTCCAATGGGGGTTGCATGATGACATTCTTACTTTTTTATTCTATAAAGAGGCATATTGATACTGCTTCTTCTGTTTTATTTGTTGTATTTTCACTGCTCTTAGCTGATTATTCTGTTGTAGTTGTTGTACATTCTTTTCTTTTATTTTTTGCTCTACTGCTACAGTTTAGTTCAACTGCTGTGGGATTTATTAAGTACTGCAATTTGAAGATTCAGCTGTTTGCTTATGTGTCTGGGCAGTGAAGATGGAGGGACGGAGGTAACACATGCCATTTTTACAAGGAGACTGTAGATATTTTTATAATGGCCAGACATTTGTATAAACTTTTAGTTGTGGGTTGACCAATATTTTTTGCATTTGCATTGTTGCTGTTAGGAACATAAGAAGCTGCCTTCTACCAAGTCAGACAATTGACCAATCTGCGTAGCTTAGCATTATCTACACTTACCTTACAGTACAGGATTTCAGACAGGGTTTTCTCCCTGCCTGAAATAAAGATGCCAGGGATTGAACCTGGGACCTTCTACGTGCAGAGCAGGAGCTCTACCACTAAGCCACACCCTCTCACCTCTTATGGCTTTATTACTGCTACTATTACTGTTTATCTATTGGTTGTGAGCTGCTCTGAGGTCCAGATGGGAGATGGGTGGGATAGAACACTCTTGAATAATGAAAAATAAAGAAAGAAGCTGCTCTGAGCACCTACGTCAGGGAAAATGCAGCTCACCATTTTTGTTTTTATTTTAAGCACAGTCGCTGGAAAAGTTACAAAGCCGTTGTTGCAAATGACGGGTTTTCATTATCAAGACAATAGATTAAGATGGTGGCCGGGGCAGTGTCCTTCTGCTAGATTCAAAGTCAAAGCAGATGAGCTGAGAAGAAACTCTGGAGAAGCAGAGTGCACACATTTTCCACCTGGTCAGCCAGAGAAGAGAGCAGATTCATTTCTCTTTGTCTCTGCAGCCAGTGGGTTTCCTTTCACGCCTTTGTGTGTGTGTGTAAAGCAGAACATCAAACACACTTATGTCATTCCCCCCCTTCTCTTTCTGACCTTCATCTTCTTAGACGTCTCTCGGCAAAGAACAAAGTAGACAGAAAAAGCCAATTGAAATCTGTTATCATCCGTGCCTACTAATATCACACACACAAACGTTCTTGTTCCGTTGCAAAAACAAAGCCCAAAAGGAAATTGCATTTCCAGTTTCTTGTGGTTGGGCCATCCTTTCATCCAGTTAAGATATTCTTCATGAAAGAGGGCAGTGGTGCAGATACGATTCCAGAACAGAAAGCAGTAGGCCGGCCTTGTGTAGTGGGCAGCACGGCTTCTCTGTAGTTGTGTAGGAGAAAGGATTTCAGTAAGGACAGCTTTTTCATCCCTTCAAGGACAAAAACATAAGAAGAGCCTTGCTGGATCAGATCAGTGGTCCACCTAGGCCAGATGTCTGTTCCCAAAAGTGGACAGAAGCCCACCAAAAAGGACTGAGGGCAGCAGTTCTCTACTTTTATCATCATCATCATCATCACTCATCTGGTATCTTGAAGTATACATTCCCTCAGTTCCACCTAGCTTTGATGGCTACTAGCATCTGATGACATCCATGAATTTATCTAATCCCCTTTAAAATGGGGCTGGGTGAAAAAGTCCTCCCCAAATTCTCTCAATCCTATCTGTCGGTATCAGCCTATTTTCACTAGGTGGCAGTTTCACACATTTTCCCTCATAAATCCAACCAGTCTCCTGTAGATTGCCAGGAAAATATAAATGAAAAAACTGCTCATGAGTTGTGTGCATTTCCCCCTAATACATGACATCTGCGAGTGCAGAGGCACCCACAGGACCCAATTTTCCCTACCTCCTCTCCACACTGAAAGAAGGAAGATGTCTATTGTAGCCAATAGAAGTCCCTTCCCCCACAAATAATAATAATTGCAGTGCATGAGAACAACAGGGTGGGGTTACCATATACACTCCTAAGCTGTGGCACTTTCACAAAAACTAATGAAGCTGTGTTCAGATGTTATGCCTGAACTGGAAAAATTAACACAAGAAGAAGGCAATGAAGATGCATCGATAACATACCTGTTCCTGGCCACATAGTTCCCAACCTTTCCATGTTGACTGGAAGTTTCTACTTGCTCTCAATTAAGTACAAAAGAGGAAGATGTTGGATCAGGCAAAGGGCCCATTTAGTGCAACACTCTGCTTTTACCGTGCCCCACCAGATGACCATGGGAGGCCTGCAAGCAGGACCTGTGTAATTCCCAGCAACCGGTATTCAGACTGGTATACTGATTCTGACAGTGGAGGTCGAACATATTTATCCTCCATGAGTCTGTCTAACATACTTTTAAATTCATCCAGACTGGTGGATATCACTGCTTCCTGTGAGAGTGAGTTGCATAGTTTAACTACGCACTCTGTGAAGAGTGCGTAGTTAAACTTTTGTCTGTCCTGAATATTCCAACATTCGGCTTTATTGAGTGCCTACAAGTTCTAGTAGGAGGAGAGAGGTTGAGAAGTTTTTCACTCCACTTCCTCCTTACTATGCATAATATTGTACACCTCTATCATGTCCCCTCTCACCTCCCCTTTTCTTTAAGCTAAACAGCCACACATGTTGTAAGCTTTCCTCATGGAGGAGGGGGGGTCGCTCCATCCCCTTGATCATTTTGTGAGATGATCGTAACTGTACACAGTATATTCCAAGTAATGTCAGGCCATAGATGTGCATAATCCTATTATGATATTGGCAGTTTTCTATATACTGGGACTGTACTCCGGAACACAGAGGGAGGAAGATCAGTTAATAAGCTGTATTGTGTGTTAATAAGAGCTGGTGCTCTTTTAAACTGCTTTACAGCTTTCCTCCTTTCCCCAGTCTCCTCCTCAACTGGGCAAAGGCTGTAACTCAGTGGCAGAGGACCAGCTTTGCATGAGGATTCAATCCTGGATTCAATCCCCAGCACCCCCAGGTACAGACAGGAATGTTCCCTCCCTCAAACCCTGAAGAGCTGCTGCCAGTCAGTGCAGACAGTTCTGAGCTAGATGAGCCAATGGGTTGATTCAGTATAAGGCAGCTTCCAATGACTCTAACTCTGCTGGAACTCCCCCCCACCATCTGGAATTTTTGACACCTTGATAGGAATGCTTGAAGTAGAGAGCTAGCCCCCAAGGAGAATACCTGTGCTAGGCTAATTCATCACGGGACAGGACTAAAGCCCATTGAACTCTGCTTTCATGCAGAAGAAGTGCAGATTTAGAAGGATGGCTAGGTTTGCATTCACATATTGTGTTGGCAAGTAAGAATCAGGTCGGTTTGCATTGGAATTCAAACCTTATCAAATTTCTCACCCCATGCTTGCAGTCTAGGCTTATAACTGGGCCCTCTCCCACACTTGCTATTCAGTATTGGAGGCAGAGGTGGAGAAAGGTGGGTGCGGTCCGCCCCGGGTGCCATCCCTGAGGGGGGGTGACATCGCCGTGCTGCCCCCGATGCATGCCATGGGTGGCGCACCTCCTGGGACATGAGCAGTGGCCGGAGCATCCTCTGGAATGCGTGCGGCAGCTGGAGCAGCTCCTGGGACCTGTGCTCTGCCACTGCGGGCAGCTACCCCCGCCTCTCGGGTTCATGTCGCTTCTGGTGCTGGAGCAGGTAGCTCCACCTCTGATTGGAGGGTCTAACAAATGGAGCAGGTTCACTCAGTGGTGGGGTTTCATGCTCTGGCATCGGGGGGCGGAGAGCAGGAAGGGGCGGGGCTGGTGCGCGTCCTGGGGGTGTGGTGCACCGCCTGCGGGGGCGTGGTGCCCAGCGCAGGTGGGGGGGCAGCCGGCATGTCACCCCACCAGGATCATGCTGCCGGGGGCGGTGCGCTCCCCCCCCACTCCTCTTCCTCTGCCAGTGGGTTCATTCAAGCTCAGTAGCACTGGGTTTCTCTGCAGGATCCCACTCCTCCTCTTCAGATCTCTCCAAGCTAGTTTGGGCAGGATCCTGGCAGATGCTAGCTCTTTAGACAGGTTGCATTTTGAAGGTAGAATGTATGAAAAGCATCATTTTCAAGGCAGTCCTCAGGCTATAACCTTAGCTTGACTGAAGCCAAAAGGTTCTCTCCTCTCCTTTTTATGAAAGAGCACTGGAATCGTGAGTCTTGCTGACAGATGTATTATTTTTTTTAAAGCGTAGCCTCTGTCTGCTTGAGGGGTGGAGGAAAGGAGCCATTTCAGATGTGTTGGATGAAAACTGTTATAAAATATCAATACAGTATAATTTTATCTACCTGGAGAACTGACAGGCATTTTTGACACCAGACTATTTTCAATTATCAGTCCCACAGCATATCTTCTCTTTTACAATTTCAGGGAAATCGCTTGTCAGGAGGATGGAAGGAAACCTCAGATCTTTTCCTGCAGACAGGCAGTCCCATTTGCTGAGCAATCTATCCTGACCTCTAGGAGCCACTTCATACAATCAGAATAATCAAGTGGAAACACTTCCCTTCTTCTTCAGTGGTCTCATTTCATAGAATTGTGTTGTTGTTGTTGTTGTTTAGTCGTTTAGTCGTGTCCGACTCTTCGACTAAACAACAACAATTAGGATGAGGGAGATTGTCGCTTCACACTTGAGTATCCTCCTTTCCATTGAAAAGCAAAAATCTCTCCACACTAACTAGCATCATCTAACAGGGCTTTGCACAAGTTTTGACCCAGCCAAAACAGACATAATTGAAGAGCCTTGGACAAGTCAGGCACGCACAGTGATGGATTGCTGCAAGTTGGGTTGGATTGACCCAGATCAATCTGTGGCTGGGGGTGGGGGCAGGAAGGGGTCAAACAAGAGGGAAAAGAGGACAGGAAGGGTGGGAAAACTATGCAAGAAAACCTGATGGGCAGCTGCATCTTCCTGGAAAGAAGGCTCAACACCATGGAGTGCAGCACCAGATCCTTAGCAGCTTTTAAGCAGGAGGATCCAATCCTGTGCAGTGCTGGCTCCTCCTCATTTGGGAGCAGCTTCCCTCGAATGCCACTCATGAAGGAACAGCAATCAGCACTATGCAGGATTAGATCATCCTGCTTAATAGCTGTTAAGCGGAAAGAGCCAATCCTTTGTAGTGTCATGCACTCCCCAGCCTTTTAAAACCTGTATCTTAAAAGTCTTTCCCCAAATTATTGTAGGGATGGATCCATGGTGGGGTGGGTGGTTCCCCAGGACAGCACAGGGCGAATTGCCACAGGGTAGCCTAGGGAGTCTATGCACAGCCCTGTTTTCGGATGATGGCCAAGTCAAACCTTTGTACTTGACCTCCAAGCTTTCTAAGTGGAAGGAGTGTTTTTATAAGAGAGGCCAAATGTGCTACAGTCCAGGAAAATATTGTCTCTGTAATGTAACCCTTGACTCTGTAAAGCAACTTCATACCTGCCTACTAAATCCTAAATACACTTGAATGACGATTCATTTTTAAAGCACCTAAATATTTCTAAGTGGGGGTGTATATGAAATAGGGAACAAAATAATACATGGTGTCAGGCTTATAAACTGAAATACATGACACAAAAGGGAAGGGGGATG